GTTGCTGCTGCCGATGTTGCCGAAGCCAGGAAACCCCCAACTTTGCTGCTCATCACCTGCAGCAGCAGCAGCAGCAGCAGCAGCAGCAGCAGATCCCGCATGATCCCTCGATCTTCGGCTGCCTTCATGTCTCCTACTGCTACTGCTGCTGCTGCTACTACTACTACTGCTGCCGCTGCTGCTGCTGCTGCTGCTGCTGCTGCTGCTGCTGCTGCTGCTGCTGCTGCGGCCGCTGCAGAGCAGGGCCCCACACGGCTGCAGGCCCGCAGGGGCCCCGTCCTGCCCCACCACGTGCACCGTCGGCAGCAGCACGGAGTGTCTGTGGAGGTCGAAGGCAACCTGCAGCAGCAGCACAGCATCTTCTACATGAATCCTTTTCCTTCGCATATCTCCTGCTGCTGCTGCTGCTGCTGCTGCTGCTGCTGACAGCGGCGTCCCTGCTCCAGCTGTTGCAGCTTCAGCAACAGCTGCAGCAGCAGCAGCAGCAGATGCTGCACTTATCACGCGACGAGTATAAGATACAGGAGCCAGAGACAGAGGCAAGGGCAAACTCAGAGGGACCTGCCACCCCCCTACACCTTGCTGGCAGTTGTTCTGCGCATGCTGTCTTGCTGCTGCGTCTGCTGCTGCTGCTGCTGCTGCTGCTGCTGCTGCTGCTTCTGCTGGTGCTTCTGCCGCTGTTTCCGCCGGTGCTGCTGCTTCTGCTGGGGCATCTGCCTCTGTTTCCGACGATGCTGCTGCTTCTGCTGCGGCTGCGGCTGCTGCTGCTTCTGCCTCTGTTTCTGCCAGTGCTGCTGCTTCTGCTGCTGCTGCTGCTGCTGCTTCTGCTGCTGTTTCCGCCTCTGTTTCCGCCGGTGCTGCTGCTTCTGCTGCGGCTGCCTCTGCTGCTGCTTCTGCCTCTGTTTCTGCCGGTGCTGCTGCTCCTGCTTCTGCTGCTGCTTCTGCTGGTGCTTGTGCCTCTGGTTCCGCCGGTGCTGCTGCTTCTGCTGCGGCTGCGGCTGCTGCTGCTTCTGCTTCTGCTGCCGGTGCTGCTGCTTCTGCTGCTGCTGCTGCTGCTACTTCTGCGGGTGCTTCTGCTTCTGTTTCTGCCGGTGCTGCTGCTTCTGCTCCTGCATCTACTTCTGGTGCCGCGCGTGCTGCTGCTGCTGTTGCTGCTGCTGCATCTGCCGCTGCTTCGGCATCTGCTGGTGCTTCTGCTGCTGCTTCTGCCTCTGCTGCTGCTTCTGTTGCTGCTTCTGCTGCTGCTTTTGCTTCCTTTGCCCTTGCCCCTTCTGCTGCTGCTGCTGCTTCTCCTCCTTCTTCTCCTGCTGCCTTTTCACTTGCTGCTGCAGCTTCTGCTGCTGGTGCTGTTGCTGCTGCTGCTGCTGCTGCTGCTGCGGTGTCTGCTCGCCCAGACACACTGCTGCACTTGCTGCCAACAGACACGAGAGGGCTTTGGTTAGGGGGCCTCGTTATGTGCTGTCCTGCTGCTGTTGATGCTGCTGCTGATGCGGTTGCTGCTGCTGCAGTAGCTGCTGCTTGGGTTGCTGCTGCTGCTGTTGCTGCTGCTGTCTCTGCGCTGTGGGACGGGGATGCTGGAGGAGAAGATTCTGCTGCTGCTGCTTCTGCTGCTGTTGCTGCTGCTGCTGCTTCCTTGGCAGCAGCAGGAGCTTCAGCTGGCAGCTGAAAAACCTGAAGGGGCGAGAGCAGCGCAGCTGCTGAGGCGGGGCAGCAGCAGCGGCAGCAGCAGCAGCTGCTGCCACCGGCGGTGTGCTGCAGTGACGCTGTCATAGAGGCTCCAACAGGAGCTTGCACAGCAGCAGGAACGACCGCTTCTGCTGCTGTTGCTGCTGCTGCTGCTGCTGCTGCTGCTGTTCGGGTTGACGCTGCGGCCCAAGCTGTGCAGGGGGTGCCAGGCTCCGCTGCACTGCTGTTGCTGCTGCTGCTGCTGCTGCTGCTGCCCCAGTCGCAGCGGGAGAGGCGGCAGCGCGTCCGCAGCCAGCTGCAGGTGCTTAGGGGCCTCTTCTGCTGCGGTGCAGCAGCAGCAACAGCAGGAGCAGGCCAGTTGCTGCTGCTGGTTCTGACTTTGCTGCAGGTGCAGCAGGCATCCCGGGTCCCATAGCGCAACCCTCTTAGTTCCGCGCGGTGCAGCTGCGGTTCCTGCTGCTGCTGCGGCTGCTGCGTTTGCCGCAGCTGCTGCAGCTGCAGCAGTTGCTGCTGCTGCTGCTGCTTCTGCGGCGGTGGCGAGCCCTCAGCACTGCCATCTGAGGGGTCTACAGGATGGGCTACGATAGCTTTCTTGGGTGTCAAGGAAGCCCCTGTTGCTGCTGCTGCCGTTGCTGCTGTTTCTGCTGCTGCTGCAGCAGGAACTGCTGCAGTGTCTGCTGGTTCTGAGGGGCCTCCCCCCTGAGGCCTGAGCGTTGCCTCGGCCATGTCAGGTGTCTGTGCAGCGTCAGGGGCATTGGCGCTGCAGTCTACCTGGGAATGGAGAGAGGTGGTTGCTTCCAGCGTGCTGCATGCAGCAGCAGCAGCAGCAGCAGGAGCAGCGGCAGCAGCAGCAGCAGCAGCGTTTGCTTTGCTAGGGGCCCCTGCGGGCTTCCGCATACGTAAGCGGGGGCTCGCGCAACAGCGGGTCTCCCCATAAGCCGATATGGACGGCGAGGACCTGCATGCAAGAGCAACACCGCCGCCGCTGCTGCTGCTGTTGCTGCTGCTGCTGCTGCTGCTGC